TTATATTCATATTATTAATACAAACACACTTGTGCCTATGGAGGAATTCATTTTGCATCAGCCAAGCTCTCCATGAGGTGCAGGAGGCATCATGCCTAGGAACCATGATATTAAGGCCCATGAAAATGTTCAATTTTTTTAGTCAGAAGAAAAAAATGAACCTATAGGTCTAAAAAAGTTTTATGATATCATTTTAATATAATCATCTTCATTTTAATATAATCATCTTCATAGCCATGCAACTATAAAATGAAATTTTTATTAACTGTTTTATGGAGGGAAGGGCCTACCAATGCAAAAATACCTGGGGCTGCTGAAAGTCACCATGCAGCTCGGCCTTGTATTCCTTCTCTCCTGGGGCATCCTATCATAGAATTTAAGTATTGACATTAGGAACTCAAAGTCTGAAACAAGGAGATGATCCTTTAAATCCCAAAGTAACCAGCCACTTACTTAAACTCATGTGGATTTTATCAATGTTGTACCAGAGGTATTATACTTGAAAACAACAGTCCAGGAAGGTCAGCCCTGGCTCCACGAAAGCAGAAGGGGCCAAGTATGGTGATGCATGCCTGTAGTACCAGCTGCTTAGGAGGCTGAGGCAGGAGGATCACTTGAGGCCAGGAGTTCGAGACCTGCCTGGGCATCATAATGAGACACCATCTTTGAAAAAATAAAGAAAAGAAGAAAAAAGCCGAGGGTAGGAAGGGGATTCTATGGGTGGAAAAAAAAAGCCTAAGCTATCTGAAGCATTTTCTTACAGTAAGAAGCTAATTAAGGTGTGCTAGGTTTAACAAAGTATTTTCATCAATATTAGAAAACTTGATCCTCATTAACAACTTGGTGTAGAATGGAAGAATCAGACTCAGGGAAGGCAAACAGCCTTCTCCGCAATTCCCTACACTATTACTGCCTCGTGGAGGGAGGAGTAAGTTAACCAGGACTACTGATTCCAAAGCCTTTGCTTTTTGTTAGTGGCTGTAAAAACTAAAATTGGAAGTACATTTATGTAAATAGTTTATGCAACTAAGCCAAGTAGCCAGTGACTTGGGGGACATCCAGAGCGTAGTGGGAACAGAGGTACGTCCTTACAGGTAGCTTTCTTCCCAGGCATGCGGCCAGGCTGTCTGTGGTGCAGCTGGCTGGTTCCCCGCCAGCTTTCCCTCCTGACCTGGGGTGTTTTAGGCAGAGACTGGCTTTCTGGGGCAGCTGAGGAAATCTGTCCTTATCAGCAAGAAGGGGGATGCTTCTCCCTCGCAAGGACGAATGATTCCTTGATCCAAGCAGCAGGGGCGCTTTCAGGCTTTCCAGGGGGCACTGCTGCTTCCTCGACTTTTTCCTTGCAGTGACAGCCTAAGGGGCCGTTCCCAGGGTCTCATTTCAGGAATAGCAATGTGCTAAAGGACCTTGTGATGAGGGTCACCCCTATCCACTGCCTTCTCCACTTCATGGAAAGGAGGCCCCCAGGAGCAGTGGTCATCAAAAGTGGAGCTGCTTATATACAACTATAATTAGTCCATTTACAAAAAAGGAAAAAGGTGTCCGTCTGGCACAGTGGCTTACGCTTGCGATCCTGGCACTTTGGAAGGCCGAGACGGGACTATTGCTTAAGGCTAGGAGTTCGAGACCGGCAACATAGCAAGACTGCTCTCCAACCCCTAGATAATGTGGGGCTGCCAATACTGACAGCGTGGGCACGCCGAGGAACTTGTTAGAAATGCAGATTCTCGGGCTAACCCACTACCTACTGAACCGGCGTCTGTGAAAGTGGTTCTTAGACACTCAAGCTTGCAGCCTGTACTTTTCTCAGTGGTGCTGCCCCTCCCACGGAAAGGGGCGAATAATCCTCAGGAAGACAAGCAAACATGTCTGCAGCGTCAATTTCTTCAAACTAGAAAGCATGACGCAGGCGCAGTGACCGCCCGCCGTCCCGCCCCAACCCCCCCCCCC